AACTCTTACCAATATTCTAAATATTTCGTACGAAGGCAATGAAAGCGAAATTGCAATAAACATGTTGACGTAATTAATGGATTTGAATAAACTGGCAGAGCTCGCTAACGCGTCTAGTTCAGAGTCGGACGAAGACATAAGCAATCCTCAAAGTGAAACTGATCCTTTGAATAAAGAGAAGGAACACAATTTTCCAGTGCTGGGCAATGATGAAAATAAAAACAGTAATTCGTGTTTAAAAGATAAAAATAATTCCTGTCGAAATTTTGAATTTCAAAATGTCGCTATTAATTATTCTGATATCGAAAGTACTATTTCTAAGTATAATGCAGGATCGCATGAAAATATTGTTCATTCATTTTCAAAGACGACCACTCATGCCGTCCCCACACACATATATATACATATATATATATAAATACGCTCACTCAGATACAGGGAGGGATGATAAGAGCACCCCCTCCCCTCTCTTGAAAAATACCTCAGTCACATTTTTTTCCCCTTTAAAGAAAAACCAAAACTATGTAAAATTCAGAAGATAAACTTTCATTCATCCGTTGCATAAGAAATCTGCATAACGTCTTATTTTTATCGCCGTTTGTTGACGAGATGAGGCCTCGAAATCTAGGTGAAGGATGCGTCCGAGAATGTAAATAATTAATTGGAGACCTGTTTTTTTTTTTTTTTTTTTTTTACGTATTTATTGACAAACGATTAAAGTAACCAAACGATCCATTTTCCACATTTCATCAACTGATAATCGTTATTTATTATTCTTTTTTTTTTTTGATGACGAGGCTGTCACGAGGTAATGAAAAATATTGAAAGAGGTTTCATTCCATTTGGTGTGTAGACATATTTTTTTCATTATTACATATTGAATGCATTATTGTTCGTGCAACTGTTTACTTTAATTTCATTATTCGAAGCTGTAAATGATTTTGAAACTCACGGTAAGTACATAAATATACTACTTTTATTTCGCACTAAATAATATTATAATTTTCGAAAAAGTAAACTAATTTATGAATTAAACCAGTGATAATCAATATTTTGCTGTCGCTGCACACTTAAAAGTGTCCGAAATTTGACGGCACACAAAGAAAAAAATAAGTTTAAAAGATGTATTCTTACCTATGTAAAATGGGTTATGATAAATAATTATGATTTTATTTTCATAACAATTAATTGCATAGCTTATTTTAATGGATAGCTTTTATTTCCTTTTCTAAATTAATATTGAGCTTTCTTTCTTTTGTTTATTAATAAATTTAATAGTCAGTAAATTTCCCACATATTTTAGGATAGTCAGAGACTGTATAATCCATAATTATTCGTTATTTATTATTAACTATTTACTTACTTTCGTTTTCTTTTTGTTTCCGTTTTTAGTTCGGTTTTGTTTTTATTGTGCTATATATATATATAAAGAGAGAGAAAACATGTATAAAGAATGATGATAAGAGAAGAAGTAAAATTTTTAAAATAAAATATTTTTAAAAAATAATTTATTTAAAAAAAGCTTATTAAAAAGCCGAAGGATAAAGTAATGTAAATATAAAATTTCTTCATCAGCTCACACGATTATATCCGCAAAAAAGAGTGCTTTCTAATATGGTACGATGTCAGTTATCTTGGATTGGTTCTGCGCAATGGTTCTGCGCAAGGTAATGATATTATACTGGATAATTTAAAGCTTATAATTAATAAGATTGATGTTTGCCGACCATGTGGCCGAGTGGTTAGCGTGTCTGACTGCGGAGCCATTGGCCGCTGGCTCGAATCCTGCTCAGGGCATGGATGTTTCTTTCTCTGTCTTTGTTCTATGTCCTTTCCTCTTTGTGTGAATGTGACCCGCTCTATAAACGGGTTTGTGGTCGTATGACGTGGGGGACGCTGCTCCACCGCCGTGGCTTCGCCACAGGTGCCCACTGGGTAACGAGAAGAGAGTAGCAGTTCTGGCATTTCTATGGCCAATGGGACAAACCCCAAGTGCCCTCCATTAAAAAAAAAAAAAAGATTGATATTTAATTTAGAAAATTAACATTTATTTAAAAAATAAACATGATTTGCGCATTTTGCACAAATTTTTAGCCACGGTTTGCCCGAATTGGATTTGTTCATGGTAAAAACATAAATTAACAAAGAAGTTTTTAGTAAATATAATAATAATAATATGGAATTAACTGAATGATTTTACATAGAATTTAATTACATTAGTTGGATGTCAGTTTTTTTATTTTATTGTTATTATCAAATTTTATACATATATATATATAAAATATATGTACTGTATATATATATGCATATATATATACACTGTATATATATTTTTTCACATACATGCGTTCAGCACCGAAAAACAAAGAGAAAAACGAAGATAATTAATAAGTTTTATTAACTGCGCATAAGCTACAAGTATATGGAACTCATAAAATAAACTAAAATATTGAGAAAATATGAAAAATATTAAAAAATAATGACAAGAGAAGAAAATTATTAACAATAATATTTCAAAAGTATTTAAAAAACATAATTTTTGATATCTTAAAATATAAAAAAATTAAAAATCCGGAAAACAAAACAAAGAAAAGATATAATCTCTTCATCAGCTCACACGATTATATCCGCAAAAGGAGTGCTTCCTAATATTGTATTAATATAGCCAAAGCAAAATATATCAATATATATATATACATAAAAGTATGTTGTATCGCAATAAAGAATAAAAGGAGAACAAAGGGAAACGAAGAAAATTAATAAGTATTAACTGCTGCGTCTAATCTATAGAACTCATAAAACATGTTCAAAATATAGAAAAAACAAGGAAAATAATATTAGACAAAAATTAATTATCATATTTAAGGTTCGAGCTATTAAGATTGAGTCATGGTACGATCAAGTCTGAACATTAGACGAAAATTTAATCACCTTGTTTTTTTTTTTTCCCTCTCCTCACGATTTCTATAAAATAAACTATGATAACAGAATTTTTTTCTTTCCTATTACGTCGAATAAGTTGTACCCTCACATTCGATAAAAAAAACAAAACAATTTTTTTAATTTTTTTATTTGCGATATGTCGAGAGGAGAAAGTGAAAGAATGATAAAAAGCAAGAATCTTATCTCCGGAGTTTGATGACACATAAAACAATTGATTGCTTCAACCCTTGTTTGTGTTGCAATTGAGGCAAAAATCTATTCTTTCAAACATTCTGCATTTGTATCCGATTTTAAGAAAACTAGGATCCTCCGCCTCCTATTCGTTACACTCACCTCCCCCCCCACCCCACTGTTGCTTGCTCATTGTTTCGTTCTTTTTCTTCTCTCCATAGCAGGGAATTAGCGCTCACTATTAAACATATTTTAATCGAGTGTAAAAAATTTAAGACACAGACGTCATTTTGGTAGCTGTAATCCAACATTGACTTTATTAATTGGGGATAAACCACACAATAACATTTTTAATTATCATTGGTTTTTACAAATCAATTTAGCTTTAACTTATAGCAGAATGATTCTTATGAAACAAGTTGCATGCAGGTGCGGTATGACCAAAAATGGCTTTTGCTCCAATAATTCTTAATAAACTAAACGAAACTAATTGTGACATTAAAAGGAAGAATTTTCCCCATTAGTCAGTAATAGTGACGTATGTTTCCTATGCGGGGGAGGGGGGGGTGAGAGAGTAAAGGAATGATTGGGTTGCAGTTTTCACCAAGGAAATGTTCGCTCGTAGCAGAGACGCTTATTTCTTTAAATTTAGACACTATAGAATAATCAATTTTTCTTTTAATTGTAAATTTCATGACACAAATATAGGGTGAAAAATTCTAATCTTAAATGGTGTCTCATAATCTATAAAATGCCCTGATAAAGACTTCTAGAATAATCAACAGTATTTAAACAGAATGATTACGCTTTTTTATCTCTCTTGGAGTATATTTAAAAAATTTTATTATTTACTTTCGTAGTTTTATTTTATTTAAAATTCCTGTTATTTTTTAATCAATCTCGAGTTTATAAATGAAAGATGTCGGGGGGGGGGAAGAAATCAAATATCAATAAATAGTTATGATTTAAAGTGGTTCAAGTTGGAACCCCTCTGACTACCCCTCTATATTACCTATTTATTCTAGAATACTTGTGACTCTTATTCATTAAACAAACGACTTTTCTTTTTTTAAACCTTATTGAATGTGTTGTTATTTATCATGTGTTTCTCAAAGGATTAATATAGATTTTAAACTTTTCTGGTAGAAATAGTGTCATTAAAAATACAAAAAGCAATTTTCTACCCCGTTGTGATTACACTAGTGAGACAATTCAAGGGAATTTTTTTTTCACAATTTTTTTTTTTTTTTTTTTTTTTTTTTTTATTTTTTTTNATTCAAGGGAATTTTTTTTTCACAATTTTTTTTTTTTTTTTTTTTTTTTTTTTTAAATTTTGTTTCTTTTTCCAAAATGAAGTTTAGGGCTCAGTTTTCAGTATCGGTCGGCGGGACTAATAACTATTCACACGTTAATGGCGAAAGCATGAGAAATATTACCAAAAGTAAAGGTCCCGCAGTGGACTGATCGTTAAGACACGGTTCCCAGCAGATCACCGAAGTCAAGCATCACTGGTTGCGGTCAGTGTACGGATGGGTGACCACTTGGATCAGTCTACGTAGGGACCGAGGGTGTGCGGTATTGGTCCTCGTTAAACTGTGCTACCGTAAAGTGCTCGACTTCGCGCGTAGGTCGTCGGGCTACCGAAGCGGGGGTGCCATCCCCTCTGCAGAGGATCAAAATTGTGATGGCATGTCTTCGGATCATCCTCCGGGATGTTTCCCAGACCGTCGCCAATAGCCCATTGTGCAGCTCTAGTGCGACGTAAATTAACAACAACAACAATAAATTAATAAGAAATAATAATCCGGAGATTTTACGCCGAATTTTAACTTCTAGCGCCATCTGTGCTAAGAGCAATCATTCAATTTCTATGATTCTTATTACAGTCGCTCCGAAGTGAAATGAATCGGGGCCAAAACTCAAATATTTGGTACGCAACGCCTAGTGCAAAAGGATTAGTGATGTAAACAAAGTATTTAAAAGGGAATTTGTTTAAAATTTTTTGTTTATTTTAACGTGGTATATTGACTTTAGAATGAAATTGACTTCTCTAAATTGTTTTAAATAACTATACTTGCTTTTTAGACCGTGGTACACTATTTAATTTTAAGTTTGGTAAAGACTATTTTAAAAAAATTAGTTTCGTTTTTGATGTTAGGCCATAAAGTAAATTTTTTAAAATTTGTTTATTTTAGGTTTTCGAACTGTGACTATGTCGTGGAAAGCTGTAGAAAAATCACTAACTCGGCGGAAATTTATACCAGCAGAAAATTTAGTAACGACTCGATTAAATCGCTGTTTAAATACATTTGATCTTACGTTTCTAGGTAAGCTCTATTTCACTATATGTTTTTATTTCTATCAATCTAATTCATATTAAACCAATGTTCTTTTTTCTTAAAAAAAATCTTGTAGTTAATTTTTATTTGCGGTTTATGAGTAGCACTTTTTAAATTTTTGAATAGGTTTTAATGTTACTGCAATCAAAATTAGATTTTGATTTTCACCTGTTGTGTTTCAAGTTAATTTTCTGAAAGTTAGAGGATGCGCCAACTACAATCGCCAAGGTGCCAAACAGATTTAACTTTGTTGAGGCAGTTTCATTTTAATGTTATTTCTTTCTATACTACTAATATCCTCTTTTTCTGGAAAATAAAGCTTTGATTATCATGCTTCCTCGCTCTCCAGAAACTACCTGCCCCACCAGACGAGCTCCTAGTTTGGCAACGACATTCGGAGCTGGAGCAACTGTTAAAACTTTAGTTTCATCCAAGTTATATATTTGATCCATTGTAAAATGACCAGAAGTAAGAGCTCTCCCATAATTGTTGAAAAATTCTTCAACATTTTCTTTATTAAAAGCTGTAGCTCTTGCAAAGCTGGTGTTTTCCGGTTTTCTTAAAGTAAGCTGTGGGTGATGCTTCATAAAACCTTTAACCCAGTTAATTCCAGACGTTTCATTTTTGTCCCAGCTACTAGGAATTTTGGAGTTGAAACACTTTGCGTTATCATAGGAAAGTTTTCGAACTTGTCTGTAAGTTAGACTATAATTGAGAATTGAACATGTAATTATGTATTCACAAAGCAGGGTTTCTTGCTGGACATCAAAAACTTGTTGGCTTGTGTATTTAGAACTGTAGCATTTTATGTTAGTTGTACATTGTTTGGTTTCACCAATCAAACAATTTTTTGACTTTCTTTTTTTTTTAATCTATAAAATAAAGCTGAAAACTCCATTCCAAATAAGTCTGCTGCTGCTCTTAAACATGCACCATTTCTGACAGCTTCCATTGCTTTTTCAATGTTTTCTTCACTAACTTCTGGTTAAGTGTGCTTTTTTTATATGCTCGCAACATTTTTATAAACTGTAAGAAGGTAAAATAACGGGATTGAGAATTTTATTAAATATAATGTTACACCGTAAACTTTTCAGTTTTCTTAAAAAATGTTTTCCTTAAAAAATATAAGAAATCAGTAAGTGAATATTCAATTTGCAGTTAGTATTACTTTTGAAATTTTTTTTAGAAAAGTTGACATATATGGAATATTATCTAAACTATTGCAGTTGTACTATTCATTATTTTACTGTAGATTTACAATTGTCTTTATGTAGTAATGTATGGACCTTTAATAGGATCAAATTACCATTTATAAAATTTAAAAGTAAAAATGACTAAAAAATTTATTTTTTCAATGCTTTTTGGTTTTGTATTTCACGAAACAGCTGCTTTTAAAAATACATAGAATTTCTTTGAAACTTTTTCAATTATTGCAACTAACAAGCAATGGAGTTAAGCTTTTGGCAAATCACGTTGTTGTGATGGTTTGTACTCAGTACTGTCTTTATGCATGGGCACACTAGGGCAGAACCCCAGGCACTCAGGAGGCACTTGAGAACCTTACTTTTCGAAAAATTATAATGAAAAAATCTGAGAATAGACAGCATTATCTTCTGTATTTTTTTTAAATACATATATTCTATTGCATGAAGTGTAATTTTTCTTCTTCTACAGGGGTGATTGTGCTCCGGAAAAAGTCCGGATTTCCGGAATTTTCACTAACTGTGATCCGGAAGTTTCCGGAAATCGAAGGTCCAGTTGTTTTAACAAATCATTTATCACAAAAGTTTCCGGAAATCAATGATATCAGGGTTGCCTCCGGCGACTAAAAAACTACTGTTTTCGGCCTTAGGCGACTATGGCGGTTTTTTTTTTTTTGCCTGAAAAGGCTAAAAAAGCAACTATTTTCAGGAATAGGCGACTATTGGGAGACTTTTTTACTTTTGGCGAAGTTTTTTCGCAAAAATGAACGTTACTTTTCAGTCCCCTCGCTAATACGTGCGTAGTGCTGCCTACCACGTGCATGTGCTCAGTGACGTCATCACGCTAATCACTCCCTTGTTATTTAACCCCACGGAAGAAAAAAAAAATCTGNATTAAATTGTTTTTTTTTTTTTTTTTTACTTCAACATTATATATATATTTTTTTTACCTCAAAATTTTTTTTCCGGATTTTTCCGGAATTTTGACTTGGGCTCACAATCACCCCTGTCTTCTATAAATAGCGATTATCTTAAGAACATTAATAATTAGAATAATTTATCACCAAGAAAACTTAAAAAGGCAACTGAACTCTATTTTTCTACGTTCGAATGAAAAATTTTGGTACTCGTAAAAATTTTAGGTACTTTAGGAGCATTGAAAGATGTTTTAATAACTGTTTAATTTGACAAATTAATTCGTCCCGCAGTGGACTGATCGTTAAGACACGGTTCCCAGCAGGTCACCAGAGTCAAGCATCACTGGCTGCGGTTAGTGTGCGGGTGGATGATCACTTGGATCAGTCTGTGTAGGGACCGAGGGTGTGCGGTATTGGCGCAAGTCGTCGGGCTACCGAAGCGGGGGTGCCATCCCCTCCGCAAAGGATCGAAATTGCGATGGCATGTCTTCGGATCATCCTCCGGGATGTTTTCCAGACCGTCGCCAATAGCCCATTGTGCAGCTCTAGTGCGACGTAAACAACAACAACAGCAAAATAATTCATACATTTTGAGTTTTTTATTTTATTTGTTATATTTTTTAATGTTTAATTTAATTAAATTCCATGGTTTTGAAAATTATTTTATTATTTGAGGATAACAACTGTTACGCAACTTCTTTTTTAAAAAAAATTATGCATAGTTTAAAATTGCATTCTTTGAGTTTTTGAGATAATCAAGTTATATTTAAATTTGTTAAAAATATTGCATCCTATCTTAAAAATGATTTATGCGTGTGAAGTTTTTTTTTCAGTTCGTTTTTTAAACATTATGGCCTGTTATAGGTGCTCTAAATGCTATTAAGACGACAACAACAATCAATTTTATTTTTGCTTTCTTCTTAGGTGTAGGGAGCACTCTAGGCCTTGGTATTTATATATTAGTGGGTCAAATTGCTAGTAACACTGCTGGGCCAGCAGTTGCTGTATCTTATTTGATAGCTGCCATCGCCTCTGTATTTGCAGGTAAATTAAATAATAATTCCTTTATTTTGTGCTATTTACATAGATGCCAACTCTACTGGATTTTGACAATTTCTCCTGGTCTAATTAAAATTTGAACATTTTAGAAAATTCACTAAAATTGAATTAGTTTCCTAAAAAAATCCCTATTGAAATAAAATTTTTGTACAGATTATCGCTTTGCTTCAATATTAAAATAAGTATTACTAATACATAACGATGCAAACCTCATTTATAGAAATCAGTTCAAAATTTTTTTTGTTCTAAAATGTTTAGTTTATTTTTATTCAGAGCTCTCTTTTTAAATAAATTAAAAAAAATCTTTTAACTATCTTTGATGAATTAAATGCCTATTATTATTCAAAATTCTTAATACATAACAATTCAAGTATTCCAGTAAACTGCTAATGGCAAAAGCAACACAGACGGTGAACTTATTACAGCTCCCACGACCAGCATTCAAAGCCTTATGATCTTAATACAGCTCTCCCTGCCTTTCTTGAAACAGCAATGAATCAACTAGTTCATTCATCTATCACAGATAAAATTCTGGTGGAGGAGAACTGTAGTGTGTCTTCACTATAAAAATACAATTCTTATCCACTAGTATATAAGAACTCGATTCTATGTACCTTTATATAAAAGCGGTTGATATTGTTGTCTCCCCACAGTTGTCTAATAATTCCTTAAATCACTAAATTGTTGTAGTCTTTGTCTAAGAGCGTTATTTTCTGTTGGTGTTTATACTCTTATATATGGTGTAATATTTCCAAATACAGTCAAACCTCGTTAACACGAAATCGACGGACATAATTATTTCATGTTAACTGAATTTTGTTATATCCTGTACATCATTAAAGCAATTTATTTCATACTTTAAATACATGTTATTACTACATTTTATTTCATAACCCTTGTTGAACAGCCGATCCAATTATATTTGGTTTACAACTACTAACGTTCAACGCTGTACCCTGTTATTTTTGAACCCAAGTATTTTTTATTTTATACCCGTCGTTGAACAGCCGACCCAATTTTGAGTTTACGATAACTAATGTTCAGCTCCGTAGCCTTGTCATTTTGAACCCAATCCAGAAGACAAGGGAACTCCTGGATCAGTACACACAGAGGTATGATTTGTTATGGAAACACGGAGGACTTTGTGACTCGACAGATTTAATGTGCAGCAGTCACCATTTACTACACGGGGAGTCTTCGGCCACCCACGCCCTCTTGGTCACAGGCCCAGTACTCATAGGCAACCAGACTATCCCTGTCCTGAACCCAAGTATTGTGGTTGTAATTTTGACGTCAAAGGGACTCTAACCAATGATCTGTCTACAACTGAGGATATTTTATGCAGGCACTGTGGTCTGTGCAAGCTGGATGCGAGATTCGAATTGACCGACCGTCCCTGAGATCGACCCCGGTTCACTTCGTTGGAAGGCAAACGCTCTATCCCCTGAGCCATCACGGCTCTGCGTACTGCATTAATGTATGCAAACAATTCATTATGAACTAAACAATTTATTCATTTCATTTATTTGCCCATCTGCTAAGAAATAGCGTTCCTCAAAATGAATTATTGGGATTTCATTCAACATTCATTATAATAACTCAGTCAGGTATTATAGTATAACATACTTTACTACCATAATCCAATTATTTATTATAGGTGCTGCGTCCAGTTTCCTTTCATGTTAAGTGATTATCAGTTTGAAAATTTCATATTAAACAAGTAACAGGGTTCATTCTAAGCGGGGTTTACGGGGCGGCCCGCCCCGTATGCCCTTTTGATATAAAATATCCGCCCTATTGCCCTTTACTCCTTTTATCCTGCCCTGATATAATTAAATGCGCCCTGTTGTGTCCCCTCCAAAAAGATACCACTTTCCTGTAAGAAAGGATTTTTTTGACCTGTCTCCCCCCGCTTAGTTACTTTTCCTTACTTTTCTTGAAATCAACTTGTCTTCCCTCTAGCTCAAAAGCTATGGGTAAATGAGATTCCGAAAAGCTCCCCCCCCCCTCTTTACTATTTCCTCTTGAAGTTAGTAGTTTAAATAAGAGATCTTCCAAGAAGTTCCTCGGGGAATGCAACCCCTCCTGCAGCTGTGTGGGTTCCTATTTTCTCTTTTTAGAAAAATTTCTTTTTCTTAGAAATGGACGTATTGCTTATTTTAAGAAACCATACTGCTATGATGACGGTCAGTAGGCCTGGCAAGAGTTTTCCTGGAAAGAATTTTTTAAGGGAAGAAATCTTGTTCACAAGGCCTGTAGACAATTTTAGGGGTCAGACTAGGTCATATAGATAAAAGATACATTCTCATGTAGCTTCTGGACCCCTCTGTCCAGCTTTATTCTTTTGAAGGAAGAAAGAAATTTTTACTTTTGATTTCAAAAGTGAAGGGACTTAGACAATTAACTACGAAATAAAAAAGCTTTTTTATCCAAAAAAAAAAAAAAAAAAATTCTAATTTTAAAATAAACTTTTTTTTACAATGACGCAATACAATTCTTACAATAATAAGTTTCAAGTTATGTTACATTACAAGTTATTTTAAGATATTAGCAAACGATAATTTTTATTCCGTTTTTTTTTTTTTTTTTATATATTTTTCTCATTCTTCGTTGGCACGCTGCCAGGAGTATAAACATATCCGTTCTTTTTTTTTTTACTCTTTTAAAATATTGTTTAGCGCTATAAAACCTCTAACTTTCTCGTTTTCATTAGAATTTATCCTAGCAGTCGATCTTTTTATTAATTTGTTTATTTATGTTATTACTAGTGTGTGCAAAGGTATGACTGCTCCTCATAAAAGTTGAATCAAGCACACAATTTATTTGTAGATGAAGCATATTTAATTCAATTAATCGTTTTTTTCCCCCTTTCATACATTTAGAATTTTTTCTAAATTTTTTACTCATAACTGAACAGACATTACGAGTGATGTAATTATATCGGTAAATTTAAATACGTAACTTTCCTTTATTTAAAAGTATTAAATTTATTTATAGCTGTATGCTTGTACCTCAAAAATATTAAAAAAGGAAATTTATTTGAAGATACAACATGTGTTATGCGCAAATTTTTTTTTTTTTTCTTTTTCTGAATGATCACAATGCAGCTTTAATTTGGCCGCCCATTTTAAATAGAACTAAATAAATTGATAAATTAAGAAATGGTTTTCTTTCTTTAATAGTAACTCGTTTGTTTGACGATATTTTTCAAATGAGGTGTTTGATTCGACACTATCACAATTACCAAGCCGATCGATAACTCTATGTTGTATTTTCCATATATTTAAATATGACACTTCTATACTGTTACTTAAATTATTTTTTTCTCGTTATTATAGAAATTTGGTCTTTATTTTTGCGCTTATTGCAATTTCGGCTATGATCTATATCACATACCATGATTTGACAATGCATTGTAATATTAGATAGATTAATTTAAATACCAAACTTTTTTCATTTAATATTTTTCAGCTTTTTATTTATTTATTAATTTATTCTTAATATCAATGTTATCGCTTTACTAACTCTGCGTTTGTAAGATCGTGCGTCGTAAATATTGTAAATTGAATTTATTTTAATATAATGAGCAAATTTTTATTTTGATTCTTCTTAAAACTTAAAATGTTAATTTAAATACAATAAAAAGTGCTGCGGTCGCAAATGAATCTTTTTTAATAACTTATTTATTTACTTTATAATAATTTGTAATTGCTTTAATTGTTTTATTTTATTTCTCTTAATCACAGGGTCCGTACGCGCCAGACTTGATAAGTCATGGAATTGTCATAGAAAAACGTAATTTTACTTGTAACGTACTTGTACGTTTTTGATAACGTAATTTGCGACATTTCCCCTTTCGAAATTGAAATTTAAGAAGGAAAAAAAAGTTTTTTTCCACACCGATCTTTATTAGGTGCATCCATACCCAGATAAAAAAAATCTGAATTGGCAAAATCAGTGGTAAGTCTCCACTCAGGGGGCGTCGCCTTTAGGCAGGGCATAATTAGTACAGTGACAGTGATTTATAATAGAGAATCACTTAGGCTGTTCCATGGTCATTCAATGGTTAAGAAAATTGAACAGTGCGAGCGTTAGTTTCTTACACTTCAGATAAGTTATATACATTTCTTTTTTTTTTTTTAAATATAGTATTACTTTTTGTGCTGATTTAGTATTTATCATGAAAGCAATTTTCTTTTTTTTAGTTATTTATTATTAATTTCGTTTCTTTAACATCTTAATTTATACTTCTTTTTTTATCTATTTATCCATCTTATTTATAATAATTTTTTTTTTTTAAGAGAAAATCTTGACTAAGTGCATTTTTATTATTTTTTTTTCGGGTTTTTTTTCCTTCTCTTCTTGCAAAAGTTCATGAATTGATGAAGTACGATTTTACTTCGCTTCAATGCAGATTATTGGGTAGTATTTTTATTAAATTTTTTTAGAATGACTTAGTTTTTGAGAAGTTTTTTTATTTATTAGTTTGTTTATTTTTTATTAATAATTTCTCCGTTTATTTTTCGTTGTCTTGCAGCTTTGTTTCATATTTTAGGATAATTTATTTTATTTTTTAGCAGACAAAAATATGCGATTTTATCCTTTATTTTTTTTTTGCTTGTACTTTGATTTGTTAGTTTCTTTTTAGGGTGATTTGATATTAAAAATATGCCTTTTTTAATGTTTTTTTTTTCTTTTTTGCATAATTTATTTTTATTGTAACACTTTATTGCAATCTTATTTTCCTATAATTAACATTTTAATTGATGCTCATGTATTGGATATTTTAACTGTTTATTGCGTTTTTGTGTTAAAAAACAACGGTAGCGTTTCTAGCTTTCGGTAGCGCTTTTGTGTTCAAAAATGTTCTTACATTAATTTGGATTTAATTTTGATTTCACACAGATTTATTTGTATAAATTTTTTAAACAACTTCGTAACTATAAAAAAGTTTATTTTCTATTATTTTTTTATTGTTGCTCTGTAAATTCCTTTAGTCTTATTTACCCTTTCCTTGCAATTAATTATCATAGGGGTGCATAACCTGCGGCCCGCCTACTACTGAAGTGCGGCCCGCGAGAGCTACTGATCACAATAAAAAATTTTAATCGCACTTTTGAGTCATCGCGTTTTGACACGTTCAATTTTAATAGATTCAATAGTAAACGTATGTTTAACGCGCTTTCTTTAATTCGAATTCATCGTAAATATAAATTATTTTGTTAAACACTTATTTCCACTTTGTAACGTGATTTCGAAAATCCTGAATTTTTTATTAATTTCAATAAACACTTTTTGGTGCAATTTATTTGTGACAATTTAATCTTAAATCTAAGTAATTTTTTTCCTTCTTTTTTTTGCTTTTCTTTCTTCTTTTAAGCTATTTTTTTTTTGGGAGTTATTGCTATGCATTCCCACGTACTATAAAAAATTCCTATAATTTCATTACGACATGCGAATTTTAAATCTCACATTCGACAAACTTTATTCTTGCTGAGTTAAGCATAAATTTAAGTAATTATTATTACTTTTTTTTTTGAATTGCCATACTTTTCCACGTGATTTTGTAACTACGATGTTATTACAACACGCAAAAAGGAATTTTTTTCTTCATTTTTTTTTTAAAGAAAAGTTTATTAATAACGTTCATTGAAAAAAATGCTGTGTCATAATAAAAATGCCTATAAAAAGAAAAGTTAATGAAAAAGAAAAACAGAAAAAACAAATTGTTCTTGGTTCCTAAAACAAACTTTTAACACTGAAAATCAGTTTTCTATATTTCCAGTTATTTATATAACAGTACAGGGAAAGAGTGATAATAAATTAATAGTATGAGACGTTCTGTTAAAATGCTGCGTTATAATAAAAGCAGCAGAAAAAGTCAAGAAAAAAGAACTAAGTCAACAGAAATGCTCTGAAGCAGAATAGAAAAAAGCAAAAATGAAAAAAAAAAAAAAAAAAATCGTTCTCAATTCTCAGAATTAGAAGTATCGAAAAAATAACGAAATAGATTTGTCTGATTAAAAAAAAAAATTTTTTTTTTTTAAAAAAAAGCAGTAATTCAAAAACTTGTGGTTCAGAATAAAGTAATCTAGTTTTCCAACTTTCTTTTTTCCCTTAGTCTTCTAGAAGATAAATTTGCAAGCCATGTGCAGAAACATGGATTTTAAAATTTTTGAAATTTATGTTAAAACTATTTCTTATAATAAACAATACTATAATATAGTCAAAATACAATTTTATATTTTTTATCATATCTATACAAATTCAAAAGAAGAAAAAAAAAACTCAGAAAAATATATTTTTAAAGAAATATTCTGAGGAATATTTGACTGCTCATTTAACCAACTGAATTTTTGACTAAAGTGCCAAATGCTCATTAAATCCTTAATTTAAATGCAATATGATAGCAACCTGAGAAATTCATAAGTGGTGGAAAACGTGAATTTTTAAACTGCTCACTGTTTGTTGCTTAAGTAATCATTTTCGATAAAAAAAAAAAAAAAAAAAGATAACGTTTACTATATAAAAAAATCTAAGAATTAATAAAATGAAATAATAAAGTACATTACCAAATAAGTATTGAATTTTATTTTGAACTATAAGTTTTGTTTTTATTTTAGGTTTTTGTTGAAAACTTATAAGTTTTCTTCAATTAAAATATTTAATTTGAATTTATATTACTTAATTCAACACAAATTTTTTTCTTACTTTCATTCTGCGAGCATTGAAGTTTTTTTTTTATTAGAATTTATCTTTAAAATGAATTTTTGTATTGCATGATTTGATAAAAATGGCATTTTTTCTTTTTTTAAAAGTATTAGTTTTTTTTATTTTCAAATGAATTCTAATAATTGAACGACTTTAATTTTCAACAAATATATTATTAGGTTTATTGATAAAAAAAAACTAGAACACTAATGTTAAAAGAAATATTACTACATTTGCCATTAACGTGTAAGTTTGATATTATTGCTGCGACTGAATTCAAGTATAAAACTTCCAGTATTTTTTATTTAAAATGACTGGAAGTATGAATTTTATTTTGCAATTTTTTTTGTAAATATTGTTTTTTATGTATATACTTCAGAACTTCGTTTTCAACAGTTAAGCTTAAAAACGCAGTTTATTTTATTTTTTTATAAGGGAGAGCCAGATACATAATAAGTTTATTTTCAAGATTAATATTCATATTTTATCTGAAAATAGTTATTCTAATCATCAACTCGAGAAAGAAAAACATATCTGAAAAATTTCAGTTGTTTCCCCAGGTCTTTCAAAGGTATGTGTAAAATTTTAAATATATTTTTAGTGAACTAAGAAATATTGAGATAAAGGAAAAAAACCTCGTTTGAATTTTTTTTTAAATTTTTCAATTCAAACTGTAGCCTTTTTTCCTTGGAAAATTGTAGTTATACATTTGATAATTATAATTGTGATTAGTGATAAAAGTAAACTTATATATAATTATTCATTTTAACTATGCAAAGAAGGGTAAGATATTTGCCCTTTTTATAAAATACAATGTCCTTTTTTAAACTTGCTGCCCTTTTTTTTAAAAGTATAGTGCCCTTTTCAATTTTTAGCACCCTGCCCTTTTTTTAGTCTAGAATGAACCCTGCAAGTAAGATACAACAATAATTGATGGTTGACTCTTTGGACGAAACACGTGTTTCACATAAACCGATATTTCATGCCAATGTTAAACATGAAAAATAGCAACAATAGTTGATTGCTGACTTACGGGACCAAACATTTGTTTCGTGTAAAGCAATATTTTATATTAAGCAGTTTAACTTTAGTGAGGTTCAACAATGTTTGAATTTCTGTTGAAATTTTGTAAAAAATATGAACTATATAGCTGCCAGCTCTACTGGATTTCACCATTTTCTCCTGGTATAATAAAAATTCTGGTTTTTGTATATTTTAGAAAGTTCCCTATAATTGATTAAGTTTTCAAAAAAAAAAAAAAAAATCCCCAAAATTATTTTGTAATTTGCTTGACTATTATTTTTAATACTGCTTGAAATTTCAAATATTATTAGTACAAAATGAAGCAAGCCTCACTTATAGGAATCAGTTTAAAACTTTTTGTTTTTCTAAAAATTTCACTTAATTTTTATTCAAAACTGCTTTTTAAGTTATAAAATCATTTAATTATCAATAACGATTTACTTGTTTATTACTATTTAAAATCAAAAGTTAAAGATAATAATAATAATAAAAAAATTAAATTAATTTAATGCCCTTCATAAATGGAAAATACTGCAGACCATTAGCGTAATAGAACTTTTGTATTTTAATGACAATAAAAATCCCTAAAATTCCCCAGGTACGAAAATATTTTTTTAAACAGCCATCTTGAAATTTCTATTTGGTAAAATCTACTGGATTTTTTCCTATCTATGTTTGCAGCAATGGAACTATAAATTATTGAAAAAAATTATTATAATTATTAATATAAATGTCGCCTCTGACAATTTTAAGAGTACCAATGCCTTATTTATTATGTTTTGTAAATTTTAAATATGCCTATTTTGTGTGCTTATAGCTCTTTGTTATGCTGAATTCGGAGCGAGAGTGCCGAGAGCAGGTTCTGCCTACGTGTACAGTTATGTTACAGTGGGAGAGTTCATGGCATTTGTCATTGGTTGGAATCTAGTTCTGGAATATGTCATAGGTACTTCTCAATCAGGTCATTTCATTTTAATACACTATCTGAGGCCAAAAAGTATCCGGTCACCCAGTGGTTATGGAGCGTCTCCTCATGCACTCATATTAATGTATGTTCCCCCCTTTTTGCATCGATGACAGCCTTCTTGCAGTGAGTCATCTGCGCTATAATTCGTCCTATTCTATGGGATCGGGAAAAGGCAGTTTTTGAACACATTTGTGCAAGCCTCGGTGTGTGGATGGAAGAGAAATGGTCCGAAATATTGCCATACAGAGCAGCATTGTCCATATACATCTCAAGAGTTCATGTTTCCAACTACAGGAACTAACAGGCCAAACCATGTGAAACACCCCCACCAGTAGCCTAGTTTTAACATATGTTCTATGTTCGAGGAGTGTTATTGGTTACTCCTTCTTACACACACACATATATATATATGTATATATATATATGTATATTTATAGCATATATATATATACGTATATATATATATATAAGGGGTCTGTCCAGGTCAAATTTACAACCGTTTAGTGATACTTTCACAAATTCAACTTTAGGAAAAACAGTAGTTTCACAAAATAGGTACCTCTCAGAAAAACTTAGACATATCCCTGTATA